GAGAGAGAGAGAGAGACAGATTGAGAGGCAGAGAGGGGAGAGGGAGAATGAGAGAGAGATGCAGAGATTGAGAGACAGAAAGAGAAAGGGAGAGATAGAAAGAGAGAGAGAGAGAGATGCAGAGAATGAGAGACAGAAAGAGAAAGGGAGAGAGAGAGAGAGAGAGATATGCAGAGAATGAGAGACAGAAAGAGAGAGGGAGAGTGGGAGAGACAGAATGAGATAGATAGATAGATACAGTGAATGAGAGAGAGATCAAGCTGTACACTATAAGCCCTTACTCATACACAGGGAAGCACTGAGACAGACACTGTACTCGACCACCTTCATTACCTCACCTGCAATAATTAGTCACCATAACACAGGTGGGTCGACAACCCCAGACTCGAACCAGCGATCATTAGGACAGTAGATGAGGGGTGTTACCACTCGACCACCGACGCACCCCTTAGAGCTAACTGAGTCTTAATTACATAATGGTACAACACGTTACTAAAACTTTTGTTATGGTCTACCTGTGGGTAATTAATTCACCTGTTTAAAGTCGTCGGTAATACAATTATTAGCGTATTATTATTTTTGTTTGTTATCGTTGTTTTTATTGTTATTATTATTTGTTTTCGTTTCTTCCAAACAGAAAATGTGTTTGTATGAGAGAGAGAGAGAGAAAGAGAGAGAGAGAGAGAGAGGAGAGAGAGAGAGAGAGAGAGAGAGAGAGAGGAGAGAGAGAGAGAGAGAGAGAGAGAGAGAGAGAGAGAGAGAGAGAGGAGAGAGAGGGAGAGAGAGAGGAGAGAGAGAGAGAGAGAGAGAGAGAGAGAGAGAGAGAGAGAGAGAGAGAGAGAGAGATATTTCAAACCACCTTTGGGAACACCTTTGTTTATCTACCTGAGTGGAAATAGTTTGTTTTGGGGACTAATCCTCTGTTATCGTCTCTCCTCCCGCCAGATAGCGAGACCCCATGGTGCTATAGCGAGACTTAATGTACCATAGCGAGACCCCATGGTGCTATAGCGAGACTTAATGTACCATAGCGAGACCCCATGGTACCATTGCGAGACTTAATGTACCATAGCGAGACCCCATGGTGCTATAGCGAGACTTAATGTACCATAGGAGACCCCATGGTGCTATAGCGAGACTTAATGTACCATATGAGACCCCATGGTGCTTAGCGAGATTCTAATGCATTAAGGAGACCCTCATGGTGCTATATGAGACTTAATGTACCATAGCGAGACCCCATGGTGCTATAGCGAGACTTAATGTACCATAGCGACCCCATGGTGCTATAGCGAGACTTAATGTACCATAGCGAGACCCCATGGTGCTATAGCGAGACTTAATGTACCATAGAGGAGACCCCATGGTGCTATGCGAGACTTAATGTACTATAGCCCCCATGGTACCATTGCGAGACTTAATGTACCATAGCGAGACCCCATGGTACCATTGCGAGACTTAATGTACTATAGCGAGACCCCATGGTGCTATAGGAGACTTAATGTACCATAGCGAGACCCCATGGTGCTATAGCGAGACTTAATGTACCATAGCGAGACCCCATGGTGCTATAGCGGAGACTTAATGCATAGCGGAGACCCCTGGTGCTATAGCGAGACTTAAGTACCATAGCGAGACCCATGGTGCTATAGCGAGACTTAATGTACCATAGCGAGACCCCATGGTGCTATAGCGAGACTTACATAGCGAGACCCCTACTTTGTATAGCGAGACTTAATGTACCATATGAGACCCCATGGTGCTATAGCGAGACTTAATGTACCATAGCGAGACCCCATGTGGTATAGTGAGACTTAATGTACCATAGCGAGACCCCATGGTGCTATAGCGAGACTTAATGTACCATAAGGGAGACCCCATGGTGCTATAGCGAGACTAATGTACCATAGCGAGACCCTGGTGCTATAGCGAGACTTAATGTACCATAGTGAGACCCAATGGTGCTATAGCGAGATTAATGTACCATAGCGAGACCCCATGGTGCTATAGCGAGACTTAATGTACCATAGGAGACCCATGGTGCTATAGCGAGACTGTACCATAGCGAGACCCCTATGGTACTATATAGCGAGACTTAATGTACCATAGGAGACCCCATGGTGCTATAGCGATACTTAATGTACCATAGCGAGACCCCATGGTGCTATAGCGAGACTTAATGTACCATAGCGAGACCCCATGGTACTATAGCGAGACTTAATGTACCATAGAGACCCATGGTGCTATAGCGAGACTTAATGTACCATAGCGAGACCCCATGGTGCTATAGCGAGACTTAATGTACCATAGCGAGTTCCCATGGTACCATTGCGAGACTTAATGTACCATAGAGAGACCCCATGGTACCATTGTGAGACTTAATGTACCATAGCGAGACCCCATGGTGCTATAGCGAGACTTAATGTACCATAGCGAGACCCCATGGTGCTATAGCGAGACTTAATGTACCATAGCGAGACCCCATGTTACATAGACTTAATGTATAGAGAGACCCCATGGTGCTATATGAGACTTAATGTACCATAGCGAGTTCCCATGGTACCATTGCGAGACTTAATGTACCATAGAGAGACCCCATGGTACCATTGCGAGACTTAATGTACCATAGCGAGTCCCCATGGTACCATTGGTGAGACTTAATGTACCATAGCGAGACCCCTATGGTACCATTGCGAGACTTAATGTACCATAGCGAGACCCCATGGTACCACAGAGACTTAATGTACCTATAGCGAGTTCCATGGTACCACAGACTTAATGTACCATAGCGAGTCCCCATGGTACCATTGCGAGACTTAATGTACCATAGCGAGACCCCATGGTACCATTGCGAGACTTAATGTACCATAGCGAGACCCCATGGTACCATTGCGAGACTTAATGTACATATAGCGAGTTCCCATGGTACCATTGCGAGACTTAATGTATATAGCGAGACCCCATGGTACCATTGCGAGACTTAATGTACCATAGCGAGTCCCCATGGTACCATTGCGAGACTTAATGTACCATAGCGAGTCCCCATGGTACCATTGCGAGACTTAATGTACCATAGCGAGTCCCCATGGTACCATTGCGAGACTTAATGTACCATAGCGAGACCCCATGGTACCATTGCGAGACTTAATGTACCATAGCGAGATCTCATGCCACCATTGCGAGACTTAATGTACCATAACGAGATCTCATGGTACCATTGCGAGACTTCACGGTAGGATAGCGAGATGCCACTGTGAGATAACGAGACAGTGCTGAATTAGCGAGACGTTATCGTGATAGGATAGCGAGACTTGACTGCAAGATGCTAAGGCAGGTTATCATCATCTTCGTAGAGAGAGAGGGGAGAGGGGGGAGAGAAAGAGAGAGAGAGGGGGAGAGAAAGAGAGAGAGAGAGAGGGGAGAGAAAGAGGAGAGAGAGAGAGAGGGAGGGAGGGAGAGAGAGAGGAGGGAGGGTGGGAGAGAGAGAAAGAGAGAGAGAAAGAGAGAGAGAGTGAGAGAGAGAGAGAGAGAGAGAGTAGAAGAGAGAGAGAGAGAGAGAGAGTGAGTGAAATGATTAATATATGAGAAAGAAAGTATGAGAGAGGTAGAGAGAGAGAGAGAGAGAGAGAGAGAGGGAGAGGGAGGGAGGAGGAGAAATTATTAGTAGCCTTCTTCTTCTTCTTCCACTTCCATCTTCTCCCAAGATGGAGGGAAGGGAAGGAGGGAGGGAGGGAAGAAGAGACAGGGAAGGAAGGAGAGAGTCAAGGAAAGGGGAATGAAGGAGAGGGAGGGAAGGAGAGAGTTTGGGAAGGAGGGAATCAAGATAGTCTGAGAGGGAGAGAGGAGAGTTTGAAAGATCATTTATTTCCTTTCGTTACCTTCTTGGTCAGGAGGGGTGGGGCGGAGGGGAAGGAAGGAGGGAGGGTGGGGCAGAGGAAGGAAGGAGGGAGGTTAGGGTAGGGAGGGAGGGTAGGGAGTTAAGAGGAGGGTAGGGAGGAAGGGGAGCGGTAGGAGGGAGGGGGAGGGAGGAAGAGGAGCGGTAGGAGGGAAGGAAGGGAAGGTAGGGAGGGAAGGGAGCGAGGAGGGAGGGGGAGTAGGGAGGGAAGGAGGCAGGGAAAGGAGGGAAAGGAGGGAAGGAGAGGGTAGGGAGGGAAGGAAGGGCAGGGAGGGAGGGAAGGAGATGGTAGGAAGGAGAGAGCGGTAGGAGGGAGGGGAGGGGGTAGGAGGGAGGTGGGGGAGGGTAGGGAGGGAGGTGGGAGGGGTAGGAGGGAGGGGGAGGGGTAGGGAGGGAGGGAGGGGAGGGGTAGGAGGAGGGGGAGGGTAGGAGGGGGTATAGCAGATCTAATTAAAACTTGGAGCGGAGAATCAGTGGTCTCAATCAGCCTTCGCGACCTCCTCTCTCCTTGTTTCATTAACTTAACCCAGACAAGTTAGGCCATCTTCCAAGACCCCGCCCGGCCGCCCACTCACCCGCCCGGCCGCCCACTCACCCACCCAGCCGCCCATGCCATCTCACCTACTCACCCATCCATCCGTCCAGCCAGCCAGCCATCCGTCCAGCCAGCCAGCCATCCGTCCAGCCAGCCATCCACCCAAGGCTTTGCTAACGAAGCCTCATGAACCCAAATATCACTAATAATGGAAGCCTTCCTAAGTGTATTGAAGCCTTCTGAAGCTTACTGTAACCCATTTGAGCTTCTTGAAGCAGAAATGAAGCTTCGAAGCCCCGGAACTTACTCTTTAAATGTAATTGAGTCTTTGGCAACAGAGCTTCATAGAACTGGTTTAAGAAATGAAGCCTTGATACATCAGGTGAAGCCTTAAAACAGCAGGTGATGCCAGGTAAAGTCTCGGTTAAGTCTCCGGATCGTTAGGTTTGAGTAAAGCGAGACCGGACAGTTCGGAGTTCCGGAACAAACACGACGGCGAACCTTTACCGCTGATTGTTAGGAGAATTGTTGACTCTACGTGAAGCCTCATAGACTGTGTGGAGCTTCATGATGCGTATGAAGCCTCATGAAACCCCATTGAAGCTTTATAAGCCTGATGAACTTCCATTGAAGCTTTATAAGCTTCATGAGAGCCTCCTTAAGCATTCTGAATCCTTTTTGAAGCCTCATGAATCGTTTGAAGCTTCTAGAGTCCCAAATGAAGCTTTTTAACGTTTTATGAAGCCTTTTGAAGCCTCATAAATCTCTCTTAAGTCTTATGATTCCTTTTAAAGTATTCTGAAGCTTTCATAGGTCTTTTGAAACCCCATCAAGCATTCTGAAGCTCCTGAAGCCTCGTCCAGTCCTAAAATATTACGAAGCCTCACAAAAGAGTATTGAAGCTAAGCAAAGTCTCATGAATTCCCACTGAAACCTCCTTAAGGTTTCTGAAACTCCCTTAAGCCTCCTGAACCCCTGTATTGAAGTCCCAGAAACCTCCTGAAGCCATGAAACACCTCATGAACCCCCACTGAACCCTCATGAAACACCTCATGAACCCCCACTGAACCCTCATGAAACACCTCATGAACCCCCACTGAACCCTCATGAACCACCTCATGAACCCCCACTGAACCCTCATGAAACACCTCATGAACCCCCACTGAACCCTCATCAAACACCCCATGAGCCCCCACTGAACCCTCATGAAACACCTCATGAATCCCCACTGAACCCTCATGAAACACCTCATGAATCCCCACTGAACCCTCATGAACACCTCATGAACCCCCACTGAACCCTCATGAACCACCTCATGAACCCCCACTGAACCCTCATGAAACACCTCATGAACCCCCACTGAACCCTCATCAAACACCCCAGGCCCCCACTGAACCCTCATGAAACACCTCATGAATCCCCACTGAACCCTCATGAAACACCTCATGAATCCCCACTGAACCCTCATGAAACACCTTGTAACTCAGGGATCGACACTTGTGAACAAAGCGAAGTGGGAAGGTTCGAAGCACCGGAACAAACCCAACTGATTGCTGGCAAATAAGTCGACGTTTGCTGAAGCCTCATGAAGCCTCGTTCCTCCATCCTCCTCCTCCTCACCTCCCCCCACCACCGTGAAGCCTGTTGAAGCCCCGTGAAGCCTGGTGAAGCCCCAGGATCACTAGGCCTGGACATGGCAGGTCTGGCTCGGAGCTCCGGAACAAACACACGGCGAAGATTTACCGCTGATCGCTGGCAAATAGTGAACGGTCTGGTGACTCTCTCTCTCTCTCTCACATTATTGTTTCTCTCTCTCTCTCTCTCTCACATTATTGTTTCTCTCTCTCTCACACACACATTATTGTCTCTCTCTCTCTCTCTCTCTCTCTCTCTCTCTCTCTCTCTCTCTCTCTCTCTCTCTCTCTCTCCTCCAGTGTAATATTCCTACCTAACAAGTATTTTATTTTTGTATTTATTTCCACAATTAAATATTTTCTAGTTGTATTTTTTGGGTTAAATAATTTCTTGTAATCAATTATTCTGGTATAAACTCTAGTAAATTATTTTCTCGTGTTAATTATTCTCTTGATTATATTGCTAATTAATTGTCTTGTGGTTTTAATTATGGTATTGATTATATTTGTGAATAAATGTTATTAATTATTGTTTTCTTAATTATTTTTATTTATTTATTTTTTATTTATTTGATTTTCTTTGTTTTTCTCGTCTAATTTTTTTTTTGTTTTCTCGTGTTAATTTAATTTTTCTTTATTTTCATATTTAATTTTTATTTTTGTTGTCCCAATTATTTTCTTTTTTTATGGCTTAATTTAACTTATTATCGTAATTATTTTTTTATAATTTTATTATCTTAAATATTTTCTTATTATATTTTCATAAAGTTTAAATATTGTTATACTTAAAAAAAATGTCATTTGATTATTTTTATCGAATAATATTTTTTAGTAATACTTGTACTTAATTTTTTTTCTAATTTTAAAAACCGTCTTGTTTTTATTATTTTATATTTTTAATTATTAAAAAAATAGTACCCGTAGTTTCTTATGTAACTAATACAGGTGTTTAATTAAATACAGGTATTGTATGTTATGTAAATATGTATTAACGCTGTACAGGTGTTTAATGAAGTTATGACAGATGTTAATATTATCACGTTGGTACAGATGTTTGGAGTTAAATACGTGTTGTGTAATGTTGAATTAATTTTAGTACATTTATACAGTGTTTAGATGAGGTTAGGTTATACATCTACACGTGTATGTATGTATGATGTATAGCTGTGTATGGTCTGGGTGTAGGTTAGGTTAGGTTATACATCTACACGTGTATGTATGTGTGATGTATAGCTGTGTATGGTCTGGGTGTAGGTTAGGTTAGGTTATACATCTACACGTGTATGTATGTATGATGTGTGGCTGTGTATGGTCTGGGTGTAGGTTAGGTTATACATCTACACGTGTATGTATGTGTGATGTATAGCTGTGTATGGTGTGGGTGTAGGTTAGGTTAGGTTATACATCTACACGTGTATGTATGTATGATGTATAGCTGTGTATGGTCTGGGTGTAGGTTAGGTTATACATCTACACGTGTATGTATGTATGATGTATAGCTGTGTATGGTGTGGGTGTAGGTTAGGTTATACATCTACACGTGTATGTATGTGTGATGTATAGCTGTGTATGGTGTAGGGCTAGAGATGTCTCCTCACTTCTCACCTTCTCTCCTTTATCCCTCTCACCTCTCATTCCTCACTTCACTTTCCACCCCCTTCACCTCACCTCACCTTTCACTCCTTCACCTCACCTTTCACTCCTTCACCTCACCTCACCTTTCACTCCTTCACCTCACCTTTCACTCCTTCACCTCACCTTTCACTCCTTCACCTCACCTTTCACTCCTTCACCTCACCTTTCACTCCTTCACTCCTTCACCTCACCTTTCACTCCTTCACCTCATCTTTCACTCCTTCACCTCACCTCACCTTTCACTCCTTCACTTCACCTCACCTCACCTTTCACCTCACCTTTCACGTCTCAAGCTTCACCCCTACTTACCCCTGTTACCCCTCACTTCCCTCACTCCTCACCTCACCTCCCTCACCAGACGACAAAGCACACAGCTGATGAGGTCTTTCAACACAGCTTGGTGACCTAGATTACTGACGTGACCTAGATGACGTCACTGATGTCACCAGATGAATGATGTCACTACCCCGATGACGCCAAGATCATTAGTAGTAGTAGTAGTAGTAGTAGTAATTAATAGTAGCAGTAGTAGTAACCTAACTAATTATAAAAGATTTGTTATATTAATTACATAATCTTCTTAAGCACGAGGATATTAAATATGTTTTAGGTTCAAAAGTATTACTTTTATTGTGTTAAAAAGTTTGATTTATTTTGTCTTTTGTCCCCGAAAGTATTTTTTATAATTGTTTGTATTAAGTTACATTAAGTGTTATTATGGGAACATTAATTGTTTATCATTTATTCATAACAGTTATTTGTTCTAATAAGGGTAATTAATGTTTGTCATTATTATTGTGATATAAATTAAATTATGATTTGTCCACTAATTTATGTGGTTAAATTTATAGTTTTTAATAATTTACGGTATTTTTTTATATAATTTATATAAAGTTAATAACATTATCACACGTTTTAGTGGGTTTAACTGATCATATTACAAGAGTCATTTTATAACATACAACTTAATTTATTTTGTGTTAAACTTAAGGTCAAAACATTGAAACATAAGATGGCATAATTGAGGTTTATTTTTATGGCTTAATGTTAAGGATAAAGAGTTTGACATTTATGCTTCAATTGGTAAAAAATGGAGTAAATTATATCAAATTAAGATTGATTTAATTTCTGTATTATTTATTTTTATTGAATTAAATTATTTTAGTTTTTCTTTAAATAGAATAATTTTTAATTTAATATCAGCTTAAAATTTAGGTCCAAGATTGTGTCATACAGTAAACTTTTATATAATTCGGTGTATAAAATTTACTTGTATGAAAATTAAAGTTATATTTTTTCTGTTTGCAATATTTTTTATATTTTTAAATTAAGATCAAGATTTTTTAGATTTAAATTATGTTTTAATAATTATTAAAATAGATATTTACACTAAAAAAACATTAAATTGATAAATGATACAGATAGGTAGAGTGATAGGTTAGATAGCTGCTATATGTATCAGTAAATAACAAATAAAATCCATTAAAATTATACATGAAATAATAAAATCAATTAAAAAATTATAAACAAAAATAAATCAAGATTAAACTAAAACCAGACATAAGAATCAGGTAAATCATTCAATATATAATAAAAATCAACCAAATTATAGAAAAATATTAAAATAAATAAAAAGGACAATTTATACACCAAAATACAACGAACAATTTCTTTAGGTCTCACAAAGTATCGACCAACATGAGAGGAGACAGTAACACCGACGGTCACAGTTGGTGGTGAGAATTAGACCCAAATTTGTCGATAAGACGAGAAATTTACTGTCACTCAAAATTATACGGTGACCAACCCGCACTTTATTCTCTATTGTGTTTGTCTGTCTGTCTGTTGGGTACACTTACTGTTCCATTATGCTACTGTTCCATTATGCTACTATTAGTACTACTACTGCTGCTACTAAGGCTACTACTACTACTACTACTGCTATAATAATAATAATAATAATACCAATAATAATAATAATAACAATACTACTACTACTAATAATAATAATAATTTAATAATAATATAATAATAATAATAATAATAATAATAACAATAATAATATTAGTAACAATAATAATAATAATAACAATACTACTACTTACATTAATACTAATACTAATACTACTACTAATACTACTACTACTACTACTACTACTACTACTAATAATAATAATAATAATAATAATAATAATAATAATAACAATAATATATATAAATAATATTAAATAATAATAATAATAATAATAGTAACAATAATAATAATCGTAACAATAATAATAATAATAATGATACTAACAATACTACTACTACTACTAATAATTAATAATATTAATTTCAATGATATAATAATAATATTAATAACAATAACAATAATAATAACAATAATAATAATAATAATAATAATAATAATAATAATAATAATAACAATAACAATAATAATAATAATAATAATAACAATAATAATAATAATAATAATAATAATAATAATAATAATAATCGTAACAATAATAATATTAATAATGATACTAATCAATAATACTACTACTACTAATAATAATAATATTAATTTCAAATGATAATAATAATAATAATAACAATAACAATAATAATAAATAATAATAATAACAATAATAATAATAATAAATAATAATAATAATAATAATAATAATAATAACACAATAATAATAATAATAATAATAATATCAATAACAATAACAATAATAATAATAATATAATGATAATAATAATAATAAAATATAATAATAATAATAATAATAATAATAAAGAATCGTCAGCTGGGTAATAAAATAATCACCCAAAATGTCTCACTAATGAATAAAGTTTTGTGTTCATTTACGGAATTAATTAACTTCATTTTTGGACCTTTGGATTATTTTCTGAAACTTAGTGATGTTGTGAGGATTGTTGTAGTGATGTTGAGGATTGTTGTAGTGATGTTGTGATGATTGTTGTAGTGATGTTAGGATTGTTGGAGATGTGAGGATTGTTTGAGTGATGTTATTGT